TCAGAGCAATGCTGGCCATGGAATGAAAAAGAATGAGCGAGTCATATATATATATATAGCGATGCCCTTGTTCCTAGCTACTAGTAGTAACGCCAGGAGCTACTAGTAGGTTCTTGTTACTAGTGGCGATGCACCTTGTTACCAGTGCGTCGTGAGCTTTCTGAGGCACAGTGGTCTCTCAGAACTTCTTACACAGCTTCGATGGCGCTCTCAGGGGAGCTCGTTGCTGAGAACGGCTGTAGGCTTCAATATGTGCAATGTTTGAGATCCCAATGCGTTCATTGAAATTCAGCGTGGAACATTGTTCATTAAGTGAGCGTTGAACATGTGTATCCACAAGACACATTTGTCCAACCCGAGTTTTCAAGACGGTGCTCCAAGGCGCTGTCCTTACGGCTGAGCCAACCTGCTGGCTCGTGGGTGTTGGGATTTGTCGTATTTGCATGTCATCTTCGAGACTTGTCAGGGTCAACGAAACAGATAGATAGGAGGCCATCGCTTCTAGGTTGGAGGCCATCACTAGAAATATGGACCTCTGGTTGGATCTCATTCACGACTTCTGGCTCTGAGCTTTGACTTGCTCTGGGTGTCCGCGTCGACTGCGATCATGGAGTCCTTGAAACGTTTGACAGCGCTGCTTACCGCAGTGGCTGCGCACAAGTTCGATTTGATTCTTTATGGGGCTGACGCCTGGCGAAATGCTGGTGAAAACGTTTTACGGCCGATTCTGGCGTTTTGGAGGGGGAGGCCATGGCTACTAGGTTCCTTTTGCTTTTAGATTGATCGCTCTCGCGGGGATGCCATTGCTATTAGTAAAATTCTAGATTTGGCAACTTTTCCAGAATCATAGAGTAGTCAAATGATAGCTGCCTTTCTCGAGCCAGCCCGAGCCACAACCCATACGCATGTTGTCGGCCAGCCCGAGAACGCCCGTCCAAAAGTCTTCACTTCGCCTAACGTGAGTGCCAGCCATATCCAAACCTTTGTGCTACTTTGGGACAAACGTAAGCGCTAAGCCGCTGAACGTTGATAGCTACTAGGAGCAAAGGGCATCGCTACTAGGAGCAACGCTACTAGCGGCTCCTGGCCTTACTACTAGGAGCAAGGACGCTACAAGTGTGGACGGATGCGTTGATGGATGGGTGCTACTTAGGATGGATGCGTTGGCCACTTCGCAGCTGCGCACTTGGCGCAGCAAGCGAATTTGACCTGGGCTGTTGCTGGCAGAGACTCGCCAAAAGCTTGCCGTCGTTACAGCAGCTAAACAAAGTGAGACAAGCATTTGATAGTTGACATGAAGCTTTTTTCCATTCACAAGACTTTCTGCATTATTTCAATGTACCGTAGCTGCATGTGGTGTAGCACCGGAAATAGTATGTCCACGATTATGAAGTGGTGGCATGCCCAATCGAAGAATTGTTTTGTGCCTTGTTTTAAGCACGGGTCCACTCCACCCAAGTTGTTTCCAGTTTCGTTGGAACCGCAAGTTCCCATTCCCCAGTCATTCCCCTTAATCTGAAAGAACTTACATGCTGTATGTTTGGAACGCTTTTCTTTGGTTTTCCTATGTTTTCCTCCTTCAGTTTTGGGGACTTCCACCCAACTTCCGCTCTTGAGCAGACCAAGTGTACCACACTGCGGCCAGGAAACCGCTCTCACCTCGAAGATGTGGTATCCCAACTGACAGATGTGAAGTCCAAGCCAGATGTGCTGGTGGCTGCTTTGGATGGTCACAGCGTGGCTTGGGCAATCAACACGACTTTCGTACTGTGAGAAACCGTTCGATTATCATCCAGATAGTTTTTCCTTGCAGTTCGGGCTTCCGTGGCAAAGACTATGGTTTGACACAGCCAGAAGAGCGTCGCTCCGAGTCACACTAAGAGAGCATCAGAATATGAGCATAGTGTAAGGTCATGAAAGGTCATGAAAGGTGAGAATGATAAGACTGATAAGTTAACCTAAGTACTGCAAACGGCTGCTTTACAACACTCAGAAGGGAGGCAACTCGGGTGTTCAACTGGTTTGTTTGACCCCAAGGACCCCAAGGATTGGCTGAAGAGTACTCGAGCAGTGATCACTGCGGCTGGGCCTTTTAGCATCCACGGAGGCGAAGAATTGCTGCGTGCTGCCGCCGAGCTCGGAGTGCATTATGCCGATACCAGTGACGAGCCTCTCGGAGTGCGCTTTTTTGTGGGTGTTCCCAACCTAGTAGCGATGCCTTTGCTCCTAGTAGTAAGGCCAAGAGCCCCGTTCGTAGCGTCCTTGCTCCATTCGTAGCGATGCCCTTTGCTCCTAGTAGCGAACCTTGTTACTAGTAGCGTTGGCCTCCAACCTAAGAGCAATGGTCTCCAACCTAGGCGGATACCAGTGACGAGCCTCAAAAAGCCAGACCCGTCACCTCGTTGTCTTCCCCATGCCAGACTGCATGAGAAGGAATGGAAGGAAGAAGACAAGAATCTGAAGAAGCACAATGAAACACACATTAGACAAGAAAAAACACATAAACTGACTTGAACAGAAAATAGCTGTATGTTGGCTACTTCACTCCATTGTACTGCCCCAAGGTTCTACTGGCAGCGCTGGATGATTGACCGCTATGACCAGGTGGCTCAAAAGTCCGGCTCCAAGGCTCGCAGCTTCTTGTTCGCAGCGATGCCCTTTGCTCCTAGTAGCGATGCACTTGTTACATCTTGTTACTACTAGTAAGGCACTTGTTACTAGAAGCGATGCACTTGTTCCTAGAAGCGAACATTGCTCCTAGTAGTAAGGCCAGGAGCTAGTAGCATCCTTGCTCCTAGTAGCGATGCCCTTTGCTCCTAGTAGCGAACCTTGTTACTAGTAGCACATGCATTACTACTTTCTATTTTATTGGCTGGGGGTAGGCCGTGAGGAGAGGTAGGTAGTAGTAGCTAGAGGTGGCTATGTTGTGGGTGCCAACACACACAACTGACGCTGCTACATGGTCAAAAATGCAAGCAACATGGTTAAGACTTGCGACGACAGGCAGCCACTGGAAATGTAGATTTTTTTTTGGTGAGGTCCTGAGTAAGGAACTCAGCAAGAAAATAGTGTACATAGGTTGGGGTGTTCGTGCAACATGTGAAAAAAGAGCAATCAAAACGTGATTGCGGAGACATAGGAAAGCAAAGCGTGGACAGGAAAATAGTGAGCAAATAGCAAGAACATAGTGATACAATCGTGAGAAAATAGTGAGCATACTGACTGACATATTATGAAACGCCTCCTGAAACGACACGTGACGTTTATATTTTATTATTAGCGTTATTAGGTTTCGATTCTGGATTGTTTTTTTGATCACATGTTGATCACCTTGTTTTTGCTTTCTTCTTGCTTTTGGTATCCAAATATTTCAATCACATCACCTTTGGAGCTTTCTGCTCACCTTTCCGCTCACTTCTTTTTTTGACTTGTCCCCTATCCTGCACTCTGAGATTGCTTTTCGTTTGCTCCAACTCCTACTCCGAAATCACAAAAAATAGACTATTTTGGCCACCCTCAAGTGGCTGGCTGGACTCCATCTCTTGAATATGGAAGGCACAATCATCCTGGTACAGTAACTGAAATGACTTCATATTCATAAGACTTCATATGTCAAGTCATGTCAAGTCCTGTGACTTTCTTGTTAGAAGATTGATATGACTTGTAAGTAACAAGTGCATCGCTACTAGCAAGAAGGGCACCGCTAGTAGTAGTAGCTAATGTTTTGCTACTAAGTAACAAAAAGCTACTCATTTGCTACTAGTAGTAATGCATGTGCTACTTAAGTTTCCCTAAACATCTAGAAATCAAATCATTAGTGCGAGCGCTTCTTTACGGAAGCGTGAGCTATCCTGCGTCCTGTCAGTAGTAGCTATTTAAGCTACTAGCCACCTTAGTCCTTTTCATTTGGTCAATGCAGATCCTCCTAGTTCCAATAGCAACCCCGTCGATTTGATCAATCCTTTTTCCAGGGAGCACACTTCCTTGTTTGGTAACGAAGAGCCTTTTGTTTGGTAAAATCTAAATTTGGTGAACGAAGTTTCGACCTCATGACTCCAAAAGACCTTGTGGATATATATATATATATACACATACATACTATGCATATATATATATATGTGTGTGTTCAGTTGTTTGGATAGGATAGGATAGGATAGAATAGGATTTCATTCTCTGCAAGGTTTCACTTTGCTATGTTTCAAAAGATGTGAAATGATTAGCATGCTGATAGGCATTATGACTTCCGTCTTGCTTCTCTAAAATGTTGAGCCAGGTGGTTCTGTCCAGTGGTTTCTGCGTTTTGGCTGGCGATTTGGGCGCCCAGCTGGCGCTGCGACCATTGCAGAATCGCTCTGCCGATGCGTCCGTTGCGTCCCTGGATGCCTGGCTGGAGGGCTACAATGGTGGCGTGAGCGCTGGTGTGATCCACACCGCTGAAGCCATGAAGAATGCGTCCTTTCCCAAGGTGTGGATCAGGGGCATCGCTATACTAGTAGCTGGGGTTTTACTACTAGTAGCTAGGGCATCGCTTCTACAGATTCTGAGGATAGGAAGTGATACTCAGTAATTCTCAGACATTCTCATGTATCTAGTGCTCCAGACTAGGGGCGGTCAGATCAGGTCACGCATCAGAGAATTGAGCCTGGCACGCCTGCCCCCGGCAAGGCTTGGGAGACTGATCCTTACGTGTCTCTCGGCTTTTTGTTGAGTTGCTGTGGGGCCCTGTGGGGAGGTTATGTGTGACTATGTATGGCACACACATGTCATGTCCTCAATCATCAAAGTCATAAGAGCCATGCCTAAGGTCAAAGGATGTTCCAAGGCATCCACATCTATCACAACTGCAGATACAGTAGATTGCTTGTTGCGACATTGGGCTCAGCGTAAACCTTGCCAGATAAAGTCCTTGCTTTATACTACAGTAAACAGTGTCAAAATTTGGTGGTCAAGTACAATCGGAAAGTTTGATACTGGTTGTTTGCTTGATTAGGCTGGCGCCTAACGCCACTGCTGACTTGCGAAAGGACACCAAGGTGCTTTGCCGGATCGTACCGAGACTTGATGTGTTCTTTTTTCCTGACCATTGCTTATTGAGAAACTTCCTGACTGACAGGTGGAAGGAATGCATTACCCATCCTGGGTGTCAGGAGAGGGCACCTTGTCATGCAATGGTGTGCGGCGTGCGGGCAGGATCGGGCAGGTAGGGAAGTGTGTTCATTTTGAATTGTGACAGCTTAATGCTTCTACGAGGGTTGCCCTGATTCAACTAGTAAGCCATGGCTTAGAGATGTCAATGTCAACAGGACATTGCAAGAGAGATGCTACTAGCAATGCCCTTTTTGTTACTAGTAGCTTCTTGTTCCTAATTAGTAGCAATGCCAGGAGCTACTAGTAGCATCATGTAGCATCCTTGCTCCGTTCGTAGCGATGCCCTTTGTTCCGTTCGTAGCTTCTTGTCGCACCCAACATCCAGGTGTCGTTGTGCCCAACATCTTCGGTCCCTACGATGCGCGGCTGTTGCGCCGTTCGTTCGTGCAGCTGGAGCAAGCGGTGACTTTGCGAGTCGGAGCTACTGCTGGGATGTATCCTCGGCAAAACATAGGGATGTATGTTTGTAATTAGCGGAATGAGATGATGTGGCTACTTTTTGGCACCTCCGGAATGACCTCCATGTTTTTACTGAAGCTACAGATGTTTGATTGGATTAATTGAATGTTGTTGAAGACATTTTTGCTGGGGATCTAGTATGGAGGTTGCAGAGTCTTGACGTTTTTGTTGCTCCCAAGGTATCCAAAGTGGACGGCCTTCATTGCGGAACATCCTGGCTCATGGTCTAAGTTGACCAAGTGCCCTACCGAGACCGTCTACAAGGATGGGAAAGGCAGAGAGAGAGGCTGCACCAGGTTTAAATTTGGAGTGATGGACGCTGTTCGTGGACGCAACTTGCTTTCTGATGGGCTTTGCCATCGCCTTGCGCTCCTTTCCGCAGCCTTGCCTTGTTACACTCGTTTTCCACGCGTTTTTTCTCGGCATTTTGACCTGACCCTAACTGGTAGCATCCTTACTACTAGTAACAAGGCACCTTGCTACTAGTAGCATCCTTACTACTAGTAGTGACCTGACCCTCATTTATGTGGCTTTTGGCCATCTCGTCCGCAGGATGGCTCTTGGTCGTACCGATTCCACGCTAGTGCAGGGCAGCGACGCTCCTCAGCTTCAGAAGATTCCGAATCTTGTTTTGTCCCCGTGCGTCTGTAGAAACCTGCACTCTGATACACTACAGACACCCCCTTCTTACCTCGCTTGCCTTGAAGAACGATCCTAACTGCCCCTTTAAAACATAGTTTTGTTCAACTGCCAGTTCGGCAACAAGGCTCCGGGGTCCTATTGTCTGGGCACGGAGACCCTGGATATCGCTTTACGGCCGTGGGATTGGCGGAGACCGGGCTGTGCTTGGCTGGCAAGACCTCCAAGTGCCCAAAGCCACTTGGATGTTTCGGTCCACGTGACGATTGAACGTGCGTGTTTCCACTCTTCAAGGTGCGTGCTTCTTTTCAGGAGCAAGGACGAGGTTGGAGGCTCCTTCTAGGGCTGCAGGCTGCAGGCATGTGTTTTCTTTGAAGCTTTAGACATTAGACTCTTCGGACTCTTCAGACTCTGCTTGAGACTGAGCTGCAAGCACTTCACTTTGTCTCACTTTGCTGAGGGGATGGCCCTCTGCTTTGCAGGTATACAGTATACAGTGTTGTTTGGAGAAGGGCTAGTATGTCTCACTGATCATTCGAGCAGTTGCTGAGGCCAAATGCGGCAGGCGTTCTGACACCCATGGCTGCATTGGAAGCAACCGTGTTGCCGCTCAGCTTGGTTGGATGGAGTGGTGTTCAGATATGGCTTATGCGCGCCTGCCGCGTGTGCAATCATGAGAATGTCAGATTAACAACAATGTTTTGGTCTACAAGGTTTTGGCAATTACATGCAACTGCCTTCCCCGCATAAATAATTTGGAACTCGCACCTGAATAATTTCCATCAGAAGCACAATGATTTCACTTGGAACAAGAAATTCAAGCAAGGCCTTATAGGAGGATCGAAAGATGCATGAGGAGAACCCAAAAGGAATTCAATTAGGGAAAACGAGGTAATCAAGAGGACCAGGATAAGGTATGCAAGGGGGTGAACACCAGGCGCCCAGATTCTATTAGATTCAAGTCATTTGGGTCAAGCAGAAACTGTTGAAGGACTGTGACGGGAGTCCCACTTTGTCAGCCCCAGCACTGAAAGATTGTTTTTCCCAGTCTCTGAAACTGTGATTGGTTGATTCAATAATTTTCAATGGGATGCAGCAACACTTTGGGTGTCCTCCAACCTAGAAAGCAAGCATGGGCTGCAGTGGCACTTTCAGAAGTTGACATGAATCCGGGTTCATCATTCTCCTGCATTGGCTGACCAAGGAAAGCTCGTTTGGAAAGTATCGATTTGCTCAAGGTTGATATGCTTGAGAATGCCGACGTGAACGAGATCATTGCATGAGATGCATTTCGTAAATTTTCGCTGGCCTCGGCTATGGCTTCGAGCTGATAAATAGCCAAGAATTGTACCACACGTTTTCCTTAGTAACTGTGGTAGGTCTCAGTTCTCAGCCATGTTTCGTGCGCAATCAAGCACTAGCTATGCCCAGCCCTAATCCGAAAATGTCAGTGGAAGCCAATTGCAAAGCTCTTGGCTGCCGCTTCTCCAGACCCGAGAGGGAGGATCGATGAGGATCGGACTGGTCGGAGTCCAGCACGTGACGATGCGGGACCTGACTTCTTCATGCATAGTGAAGTCCCACTCTGAGCATTCCTTTGGTGGGGTTGTTATGTCACGTCATGTTAAAGGTGTTTAGATACTCAAATGGGGCGTGTGCTTTGTGCATTTGAGCACACGGCGGCCACATGACTCTGACTCACTCTGGGGACTCGATAGCTAGGTCCCCGCAGGATTTGGTCGGTGTGAAGGCACCCCAGCCCAAAACCTTTGGCGGCATCATTGCCCGCATCTTCCATAGCAGGACATATTTTTGTTGTCGGGCACCCAGAGGTGTGGGATGGCGGCAGGCAAGAAGCCTTTTGGAGTTTTTCTTCGGCCCAGTCTCGGTGTTGAGCTGATGAGGGGATGCGATGCATACATAGGGCAGGCAAACTCTACAGTAAAGACATCAACGTGTGTGAACTGTTTGTGCTTTAGACGATAAGGATGCCCTTTGCTCCTAGTAGCTTCTTGCTCCTAGTCATAAGGCCAGGAGCCCCTGGTAGCGTCCTTGCTCCTAGTAGCGATGCCAGGAGCCCCTAGTAGCGTCCTTCTTCTAGGGCACTATACTCGGGATATATTAAGTTTTTGCGCGACTGACGCCCCCTTTCACAGTTCAATGAAGCTGTGGCCGAGGACAATGCAGCAATCAACGACCCCCAGCAAGGGTTCAGTGCTCAGGCTTTTTTCTTTAGGTAACAAGAAGCTACTAGGTGGAGGCCATCGCTATTAGGTTGGAGGCCATCGCTCCTAGTAGCAAGAAGCTACTAACGTATCAAGGAAGGTATGACGCAGAGCTGCACCAGGAGCTCGTGTTTGTTGGCTCTTTGCGTCGAGTCATTTTTGCCAATGTGGGCACCACCCGTGTGGGCTGTTCTAGGAGGAAAGTTTGCCCTTGGCACTCACATTTGTTGTCCTTTCCAAATCTCTTGGTAGGGTAGTAGGGTGGAGTGCCTTATACGTGCCTTTCCGACGGTGTGTCAATGAAGAAACCGCCTTTGCAGGGGACAAGACATTAAGCTAGTAACTAGTAGTCCTACGCTCCCCGAACCTAATAGCAACGCCTCCAACCTAATGACGGCCTCCAACCTCATAGCGATGGCCTCGAACCTAGTAGCATGCTAGTAATCCTACGCTCTCCGGGTAGTCATCTGACATTCGTATCGCTGCATTTGCTGGCGCTTGGCTGTACAAACAAGTTGTTCGGGCATTTGCTGATTTGAGCGTCTATTTACAAGAAGGTCACGATGCAAACTGTGCTAAAGTATATGAGTGTTGCCAAAACCCAGCATTGTCAGCAGCTTTTGAACACCTTCAGATGTGAAAGGCAGATGTGCACATCATTGGGCTCCAATGGCAATCAATCCATTCAAGGATGACTTGATGGACCCTAATATAGATGGCCAACCAAGCGATGGCCTCCACCCGTCCATGGAGCCCTGTGCGGAGCCCAGGGGCGAAGCCCAAAAACGGAGCCGCGGGAGGCAGCATGAAGCGGTAGGTGCTACTAGTAGCTTCGTGCTACTAGTCGTAATACACGTGCTACTAGTAGCGATGCACTTGTTACTATCAGTAGGTCTCCCAATCTCACAGAACCCAAGTTGTCAAAGCCTCTCAACCCAAGTGACCTCTTCACTTTTGGCCCAGCTGGCAAACTTGTAGGGCAATAGATGTAGCCACTGGGCTCACTGCTCCATCCTGGAATCCAGTTGGATGATCCTGTAGTTTGACGGGTGCAGTCTTTGTGATGGAAGTGCCCAAAACATGCTGGGAACCCTGGGAGAGAAATGAGCTGGGGAGGAGCCCAAAACATTCTGGGGTCTAGTCCTTGTGATGTTTGGGAGGTTATATAATGTTTCTGTGGTGGAACAATGGCAGTAACTTTGAATGTTGGCGGAACGATTTCCCCGGGATGCCGACCTCAAAGAAAGGGCGCAGAGAGGTATACCTCCAAGCATTTGCCCAACTGTTCTAAGTCTAAGCTTCAAGAAAGCTCCAGCTTCATGGGCTCCCCCATTCAGTACCTCAGCCATCCCTGGAGATATTCAGATTGGAGACCTGCTCGCTGCAGCATAAGCAATGACAGTGCAGGAAAGGAAAGATGTTCCTGGACTATAGCATTGGTACAGTCAGATGAGGATTGGCATGAGCGAATCAGCAAGTGGAATCAACACATGAATTACAATGAATTCTGTGTGCCGTGACAGGCCAACTCATGCAGCCTCCCGAACGAAGGTACCACCATTTGAACCTACAGCTGAACATTTAAGCCAGAACGATGCAGCCTGCAGGTAATAGCAGCTAAGCTTCTGGAGGAATTGTTGCTTTCAGAGCCCTAAATTGTAGAGAAGATCCACTGTACGCATGCTGCATGACCTTCCTCAATGCACTGCTCTTTCTTACCACATCACTAGATACCACTGCAGCCAACCTATCATTACATGAATACTTCAAAATGAGGAAAGCCTCGGCTTCTGCAATCAGCGCCTTGTTATCACTTCGGTGAGCCCTCCAATTCCATCTCGTTGTCCGGTGGTGCCGAGTGCACCCAAGTGCACCCGAGTGCACCTGGCGCCGATGTGCCGATGCCGGCGTGGGCAGATGCACATCGCCTCTCGGTGGAAGGAGTGACCAAGTCGTGAAGGCATAGGGTTCGTTCGTGATGTAAAAAGGCTACTAGTGACAAGAAGCTACTAGGGGCTCCTGGCATCGCTACTAG